AAACATAAGGTCACCACAAAATGCTTAGCAACCTTCTGTTCTTTGTCTTGCTTAACATTCACCATTTTAATTGCATGCCAGCGATCCAGCTCTCCAAACAGAAAACTTATTGACTGATTTTCCAAATGTACACAGCAATACCTGTAATTAACTAAAAGGATAAATTATACTTCTCTGTCACGACGTTCATTACCAGAAGGGAAATACACTGCCAATACAGACAGCTAAAACATGATAATATGCAGAAACTAGCTGCTGGCCACCTACTAAACATCCCACGATGAATGGGACTCTAATTCTTAATTCTGTGGATCCAAAAAGAAAAAGCAAAACAAAACCACGTGTCAGTGTATTCAAGAGTTGATTAGCTTCTCAAAACGTGACTCATGTAACCAAATCACACGAGCTAAGCATATAGACCAGACAGTCAATTTACTTACTTATGAAAGGACTTATTTTTTTATGCCTAAAAGGTTCATACTGACTATGCAGGAGACTCCTTCTAAGGCTTATAGAGCCAACTTACTTATTAAAGAGCTGCCTGATAGAAAGGATACATAAACAAAGGCTGTAAGTGGCTACACTTCCAGGGAAGGGAAGTAGGTAGTCAAGGTGACAGCAGAAGAGAATTTTCACTATCCCCTGTGTACGCACTGGGTTCTTTATACCACGTGAATGTAAGGCCCAGTCAAAAATGATAGATTAAAAAATTTTAAGTTTCTAAGTTAAAATAGTAATCAGAAAAAAGAAAATTTAGAAAAATTCAGTGATGAGCACTTGCTCCCCTCCCTCAAAGGAAAGTGATGGCTAAAGGTCCCACAGACATACTCTGTGCCTCTAACAGTCTTTAGATGGTTCACAGCACTGCAGAACTGGGCCTCCCATGCTAGCCCCCCCTCCAGAGCCTACACCCTAGGTTTCTTGATTGGAATCAATCCAGACACGTATTTCCAATTACTGGCGTCACTTCTGCAGGATGACCAATCCTCTTCACAGTGATTCTATTCCTCCTAAGGGAAGTATTCATCCCACATTTGGGGCACGTATTACGTGGTGACTGCAGTATACAGAAACAACTCCAACTGTAAGGAAAGGATCACTGCACGATGAAGCAGGGGAAGGAGGCTCATCCAGCACAGTGCGAGGTTACAGCTGCAAACCCCTCCAGACCTAATCCTAATGGCACAGCACCAGACAGTGGGAACGTGAGACAGAACTAAGTGTTCACCTTGGAATCTACAGCTGGGCACCACCACGGTCCTGGAGGACTGCAGACGGCACAGATACCGCAAGGACAACAGTAAACAAAGATCCCTCACATGGTGCAGCACTAGTGTGAACACAGAACCAGTGTGGCAGCAACAGAGGCAAAATGCCAGAGGACTCATCACACAGTCCACTGCTCTCTGCCTTCAGGGAAAGACCTTGTCCTTTTGGCCTGAGTAAGCCCGTTGTTTTGGGGCAATTCAGGAGAGAGAGTTGTCTTCAAGAAGGAAATACCAGACTTCCAACAAATAAGGACAGGTAGTTGCTTTAGCAATTAATTGGAAAAATAAGAAAGATACCCATATTTTCACCCAAAGCTTGCAGTGTATTTTACTAGTTATGTGTATACAGCATTTTGCTTTTAACCTCACAAAAAATAGTGATAATAAATGCTAATATCAATATTATAAGTGCTTTTTACAAACGCTGGACCCTTCAAAATAGAAGTCAGATAAAATTTACAATATGGCCTTGAGAAACAAGAGACAGAATTTTAAAGATGTCAGATACAAATGTTTTTATAGATTAGGAAATGAGATTTTTAGGTCAACAGCTGAGCAACTGATAAGAAAAAGAATGGCCAATTTAATTAGAATAGAGTCAAATTCCACAGGATGGGAAGTGGACTATCATCAGATAGATTATACGCTGTTCTTAACAATGACAGCAGTTACCCATGGTGGAATATTCACCATGGGGCAGGTGCTTAGCTTAGGAGCTCTCAAAAATTCTCTTTTAATATTTATGACG